TGCTCATTGTTCCTCAGTTGTTCCTAGTGTGATTTAAAAGTTTCTTGCATTTGTGAAATGAATGATATAATGAATTAACCATTATATGACCTGTGATGCACTGAAACACTGCATTCCTGGGATTTAACTTATGCTGAAGTATAGTTTTCATGTCACTTTAACTTAGCAAAACTGTGTTAGTTATGTTATGTGTCATTTCATCTGAAGAACTGGAGGAAATATTGCAATTTCCTTTCCTGTTTCCGATTTCCTATTGTCTTCCCTGCTCTCTTTACACCTCCCTCCTCCGTTTTCTGTCTGAACCAATGCAAGCTGAGACATACCCACAATTTTGATATATATATCTGTAGAATACATCCCTTTAAAGGAGATATATTGCTTGTAGAGGATCTTCTTTAGGTGTAGTTATTATGTACTGTGTAATTAAAAGGGTATATGTAGCCCCTATACATGTAAATGTATTGATTTTTTTTTATATATGCATAAAAATCACACATGGAGCAGATTAAAATGTATTATTTTTGCGATGTTTCAGGAAAAAGAGTATTTAACTATGAAAGCTTTCTGGGTCTCATGGTTCTACACCATGAAAGAACAAAGAACCAGGATTCTGAACTCAGAGCTGCTTTTAGAGTATTTGATAAAGAGGGTAAGAAATATATTGCCTGAACACGCTCAAGTAAGTAAAACACAACAAAGTTGTAACAAAGACATCATACTTCTCCACTCTTGTTACACGGCACAAAAGTTCCCTAATTCAAATCAAGCTATAACATATTCTGCGAAAAACACAGTAAGCATGGATATGCTAATCAGACTGTTTTCTACACGGGAGTGTTAGGGTCACATTAAGAATAAAAATATTATTGTTCATTTTGAGCATAAAGGGAGGAAAAAGGTCAAAATGTGGAGATTAAAGTTGCCACGACTGCTATACGCTCTACAAAATGCCCTGTGTAGACAAGCTAGTGAAATCATACTTCGGGATCAGTATTAGTAAAAAATAATTATTATTTTTAGCACATACACACAGTGTGAGAAGTATAACACCATTGAAGAGATGGTGCAGAAAGCTGCTTCTGGTCAGAAGGAAAAAACACACAAATTTGAATGAGTTGGCCGGGTTTGCAAAATAAAATTACTGGAAATGGACAGATGCAAGGGTGTCGATGGTCACACTCTCATCCAGTCGTGTTGCATCACAAGACACAATAACACAGCTCATCAAGTTGTTTCACTAACTCATCATACACAAGGTATTTTGTAGAGGATATATCAGCCATGGCAGTGTTTGACTTGAAAAAAAACAACACATTTCATCTTCTTTCTCAAATTGGACAATAATTTATAATTTTCTTAATGTGGCCCTAATACGCCATCGTAGTTTCACTTAGTGTTAATTGGAATTTGTCTTTGGTATTTTTTTCATGTTTAATATCAATGTAGGCAGATGGAGACTGATTATGAAGGCATGTTATATGCATTCTCTTTTATATTTTATCATTTCGATGATTGTGATAAATTTTATTTTGTTCAAATCAATCAGAAAATGTTTAGTGTATCAAGTCATTATTGCTTTTACACATTTTATCTAAATCTACAAATGAGCTTCCTCTGAAGGGTGGCTGCCGGGTCTATTAGACATTGAGTTAGGTTTCATGAAGGGTTTGAAACTCCTAACAGTCCACAATTAACCCCTTAGCAGTCCTACAAATTTACAATTAGTCCCCTAAACCATCCAATGTACCGTGGGCGGTACGTCCGACTGCTAACAGGTTAAAAGGATCCGGCTTATTTAGTTTTGGGATCTGACTAGGGTCCCTCCTGGGTGCTTACTCTGTGAGGTATTTTAGGCATATCCAACTAAGAGGAGATCCTGAGACAGATCTGGGTCCTTATTTTTATTTTTTCAGAATTTGTGGCAATGATGACTGGAAACTTGTTCAAAATGACTTGAAGAATCTACAGATTTGCTTAAAATCGACAAAAAAATGGAAAATAAAATGTGTTCAGTCACTTATCTGTGTGGTGATTTTTGTGCAACTGTGCAAATCCTTACCAGTGAAACAAAATTTTAATGCTAATTTCTTTGCTGGTTTCTTCTTCTGTTCATGTGTTCCTGGGGGAATTCGGGTCATTGAGGTTCGGACAGAAGACATCACAGGGTTAATTTCCTCAGACCTGCCACCCGGATGCAGTCATTCACACGGGTCTGACAGCATCTGGTGTGCAGTCCCATTAAATCCCATTCTCATCCTTGCAAAGCCAAACAGACAGCTGAGGGAGCCAACCACATTTATCATCTTGAAGCCATTAGACCAATTGCAGGGTAAAGGGGGAGGGAGCTTGCCGCACTGATCTCTGTTTGCAGCATCCCCAGAGCAACCTCTGCTGTGTGAAATACAAGAAAGGGCAAGACGACGGGAGTAGATCCTAGGAGGCTATCAAAGAACTGGAAAGGAAGATCTTGGGGGTTACCAGGGTAGGGTTTCTTTGACGTGTGGAAACCATCTTCAGAGAAAATGGCTGTTTTGTCAATGTAAACAGCTTGTCCAATACCTGCATTGCTAAAGGGGGAAGCAGAAGAGGAGGAGGAGGAGGGGCAAATACTGGAGCAAATGTTGCCTCTTACAGTGAAAATTCTCTGTCTTTAGCTGCCCCTAGTCTGCCGCAGGTCACCTCTGAGCATGCATGTTGTATGTTAAGGTACGTATGGATCTCTAATCTGAGAGGACACATGAGTAAGACCTGGTCCTGGTGGCAGGATTATTAGCTTCAGCTGTTAGTGCAGGACAGCTGAGATCCACTACACGTTAACTGAACATAACACGCATCCGTATCACATGGTAATACAATCATACAATCATCCTCACAAAGACCATGTAAAATGTTGCATGCTCCGTCTTTGTGGAGTGTAGGAATGGCTAACTGGACAAGAGCAATGACTGAATCCAGTCTTTGTATTTCATTGGTTGGCTTCAGTTGCACATGTTCCTCATTAAGAGCACAAGCAGACAGGATGAGGAGGGAGGAATGGATCATATGTCTATGCCTTTCTGTGTCACCATATAACAAAATGGAAAGCATGTTCGTCTTTTAGCACTCCTCATATAATGTAAATCTTAAGGAAAAACTGCTTTGCACTCTCATGGGATGTGCATAGTACATGTACCAAGTCTTGGATGCAGAGGATATTTATGGAACCTGTGTGTGTGTGTGTGTGTGGGTGGATGTAAGTTGATTTTGATGTTAGAATACGCTGCCAACACATTTCCTCACAGTGCATATTGAAGTTTGAACGCTTACCATTCTGCTGAAATTCATGAAGCTTTTTTTTTCTGCATACCGATTTCCTTCTGTGCGTTTACGACCCACATCCTGCCCAAAACACCTACCACAACCCACTGGCACAATCACCATGGTTTGAGTAAATATGAGGGTGAGGGTTCCAAAAGTGAAATGTTAATTCTTTGCTTCTTCTTTTTTTCTTTTTTAAAGATTTAACTAAATCATGAGTAAAAAAGCAATAAGAAAATAGGATGTAAGCATTTTCATATATATGGTTATGGTTCATTCAATTCATTTTATCACATGAAACCTTCTACAGATTCATTGTAGCAAAATAGTTATCAGCTTCTCCTTCGTGTGTTAGGTTTTATTTTACAGATCTTATGGCCAAAGCACCGTCGATGCCTCAGGAGACGTCGGACCAGCACGAAGACACTTTTGCTGATCATGACACACACTAGAAGCTGAGCAGTATAACAGCATCTACACAAATAGTGAAGATCCACACTCCGGTTGGAACAGCTACACTCAAACATGGCTGCAAATGGAACTAGGACAACTACAAGTTTTTTCTCAACAACTGCCACAACCCCTACAACCTCCACGATCCCCTTCCTCTCGACAAGTCCTGGAAGCAGAGACAATATCACCTCAAGAACGTTAATGACTGTGACTATAACGACAAATGAGACCAATTTGAATGCCACCGCGTTGCCAGAAGTCGTGATTGAGAGCTCAGGCATGGGAATGTTGCTTGTACCTTTTGGCATCATCACAGTCATTGGCTTAGCAGTGGCAATAGTAAGGAATCATTTAAACATGGTCTCTTCAAAACCATTTCACACAGTATAAAACATAAAAGTTATTTAACTTTCTCCGTCATATCTTTGCTTCTCCATTCCAGATGCTATATATCAGGAAACGGAAGCGGTAAGTTGCCACAACCAAGCAAGGCTGGATTACCATCTGTTTTGAGTCTTCACAAAAGGAAAATAATCAATTAACTCAACTAAAACATATCTTTATTAGGTATTTCATGGGTTTAAGCTTACATTGAGATCTAGTGCATAATCATTCCTGAAAAAAGCAAATCATTTGCTCAAATTAGTACCACTAGGATCACACAGAGGGCACCAAGTTTGGCTCAGTGTGTGTTCAACATGATTATTATGTTAATTTCAAAGTCTTTCCCCCCCCTTACTCATCTTTAACCTGTCATCACACAGGTTGGAGAAATTGAGACACCAGCTCATGCCCATGTACAACTTCGATCCAGCTGAAGAACAAGATGACCTGCTGGAACAGGAACTGCTGGATCACGGTCGGGAAGGCAGCATCACAGGGCCCAACGCCAAGGTAGGACTGACAGTTTTTCTTTTTTTACTGTTTGTGTTTATTTTTATGTATAATCTGAAGATTTCAGTGCAGATTTTTTGTATGTTTTTCTTATGACATTGCTTTCCTGTTTAGTGTTTTCGCTGTCATAATTCTTTATTTTCTTTAATTCCTTTTAAGTTTTGACAATGGCATAGTTATAAAAGGCAAAAAATGGTAAAGTATGGCCTGTGTGTCATTTCAACCATTTCTCTAAAACCCCCTTTTCTCACTGCCCTTATTCTTTCATGCTGTCTTTGTATCTGTATCTCAAATAAACTACAACCTCTAATTCATTGACCTAATCTGCATTAGAGTATGTACATGGAGGACAAACAGCGCTACATCATACTGCCTTTTCCTTTGAACCTACATTCATATTACCTTTCACATCCTTTCCTTCTCACTCTTTCAACTAAATACTTACACATAAACTACCCCAGGGGCCACATGAAGCAAACACATTTTCAGAGTTTTCAGATGTCGACTAAATCTATCCCACTGTGTCCTTGTTGATGTTGTGCATTAAATGCATTTGAAAGCCTAAAAATGGCTTTCAAACCTTAATATTTTTTTCAAAACTTTATTTTGGCTGTGTAAAACAACCAGGACAACGGCATCAATCAGTTTTATAACACATGCCGGTATTTTCATAATTCCAGATTTTATGATTTACATCATCTATGGTCTGTGGCTTCTGGCACAGTCTGTGTAGGTGATCTTATTGTTCTAAAAGTAGCAAAACATTACTGGGAAAAGAATAATTGAGTTATTGTTATAGTTTCCTTCTGTCTTTTATTACTAATGACACTATAAAGCTTGTGTCATCACATGATCTTAATGTAACGGTTTTCGCTTTCCTGCTTTCTGCTACCGCTTTCCTGCAGACTCTTACAAGCTCCCAAGGGACAACACAAAGGCCCAGTCGTCTTGTCTTCACAGATGTAGCCAAAGCTCTCAACGCTTAACAGCTCTCTTCCATTGGATAAAATCAGTTTGCGAGGTTTGCTGGCCTCTATAAAGGGAAACCAGACTGTGTGGCGGAGCAACTGGAGCTCTGATGAAGGTTATCGTCACCATGCGTGGAACGGCAGCGGTTGCATGTATGGTGGAGAAGGGCAACGGGAAGCATCACATATGATCTTGCACTGTTATCATATGGGCACACAAATGAAGTGGGATGCACTTTTTTTTAAGGGAAAAAAATCATGTCATGTCATTGCTGTTAAAATATTCGGTAGCTTGTCAGGAAAGTTCTTCTGAGCTTCAGTATCTACGTCTATGTTTCATAAAAGAGAAGTGTATATCTGTGTTCTAGTGATTTTTTTTTGGTCCTACATTCCTGACAAGATTCAAAGCTGGATGTGTTTCCATCCTTAAGTAAAGTGTTTCTCCCCAGTCGGTTTATTCTTTTGTGAGCGTTTAAGGATTGTCTCTCTGCGTGTGTGTACATTAAAGTTATTTAAACCTTTTTCTAACGAAATGTTCTTGTTGTACAAATCTAGAACAAAGGAGTTGATAGGTGATATTTTATTAATAAGTGATGCGCAGACGTTGAGTAACACAAATCACAAGGTAAAGAATCAAAACAAAATATATATCACAGGTTTGTGAGTTCTATTAAGGAAGTGGATGAGGACACATCAACACATAACATAACTACAAAATGGTGTTAAGAGTAAGGCATAAAAAGTTGATTTCTCAAGTTACACTTCAACCTTTTCAAGAGTTGAAAATGGATCAAGTACTGTATGTAACTATATAACTATCAGTAAAATCACAAAACATTGTCCCCATTTAGAGAGTAAATATCTAGACAGCTCTTGTAAAATAACACACATTGACTCAGCTGTAGTTAAATTAAAAGGCACCCTTTAAGGCTGACTTCCATTCACTTATGGTCATATGAATGTAGTGAGATGAGTGATGTGGACTACAACAGTACTAGTTTGACAGTTACTTCAAAATTTCATGATCCACATGACCTGCAGGTCTAATGGGAACTATTAGACATATTTAACCAAGAGTTTCCCCCAGAGATGACCCCGGCGTGTTGGTTTTCAGAGGTAGTCCAGGGAGCATAGTCAAAAAAAAAAAAAAAAAAGCAAAAACAACCCAAAAGCAAAAAACAAAATTAAAGTCAATGCAGATGAACACTGAATCAAGATCTAATCCGGCTGCAATTTTGTCAACAATGCTGAAATACATGAAATGACTGAAATACAAAATATCAGTGATAATATAAGTACATTTTACGTGGAAGAAACATATATACAGTAAATAATGGTGATATTCAAGTAATGTGCAGTAATTAGCAACTTGTAAGTGATATCTAATTTGGATAAATGTTCACAAAACGACTTCTCAAAACATTTTTGAAACTACATGGAGGCAGGAAATTTCTTAACCTCTGATGTTTTAGACATAAAGGATTCAGTCATTTGTATGAGAAACATCTCCATGAGGGAAAAAGACATCCTGAGCTCTCCAGATTATTCTATATATCTATGTGGCTACTTATGTTGATTCATGATAGAAACCAGATTTACTATCTACGAACATATATAATATATATATATTATATATATATATATAAAATACCTTTAACGTTCAATTACATTTTTTTTTGTAAATTTCATTTCCCTGCATTACTGTCTGGTGCCAGAGACAGTGCTGTGCAAAAGTCACTCATTTCTTTAAATTTTGCTAGGAAATTTGGAAATAGGTACACCAACTTACTGAAACATTTAGACACATGGAAATACAGTTTCTAAGGAAAAAAACTCAATATTTGGTATGACCACATTCATTCTTTACCACAGCCTGAACTCTCTTAGGCAACCTTTTTGTAATTTCTTTAAGTAATCTTCAGGAATAGTTCTCCGGGCTTCTTGAAGGACATTCAAAGCTCTTCTTTTGTTCTGTTCTCTTTCAAGATGAGCCCACAATGCTTCAATAACGTTGAGGTCTGAGGCCAATCTATGACTGATAGTGTTCCTTTCTGTGATTTGTACCCAAAATTTCTAATTTGTATTCATCAATCCATAAGCCCCATTGCCACCGATTTTTGGTCCAGTTTTTGTGTAATTTGGCATACCTCATCCTTTTCTCCTAGTTTCTGCCTTAAGAAGGGCAGAAAACCATTTCTGATGAGGCTTGAACACTAAATAAATCAGCTAAAGCATAGGTGTCAAACTCTGGCCCGCCAGCCTAATTACATTTGGCCCACGAAGCCATACCAAATTATTATTAGAGCTGGCCTACTGGTATTACACAGCTAATATATATATCGTTTAGTATTAAGCTTTGCTTGTTCCATATTCAGTTTTCCAGCAAAACTTATTTGATCCATAAGAAAAGATTCATTCTTATATCTGAAGGAAGATTTTTTTTTCAATAAATATTAATGTTAGCCTGCAACTTTGTTCCAGTTTTGAATTTTGGCCCACTGTGTATTTGAGTTTGACACCCCTGAGCTAAAGGGTCAGGTATACCCTTCAGGTCCTGTATCAGGGCTTTGCTGGATTTTCTTTCTAGTAGATCTTTAGGAGTCACCTTGTTGGAGCAAAACTAGTATTTGCCTGAAAAACTGTTATATTTTGTAGATTCAACTAAAGAAGTCTTTGTTCTTTTTAAGCGCCCAAAGATACTTACAAAGAACTTATAATTGGTTATTTGCCAAGTTGTCTGTTATGTGTAGACACAGCACTCTTCATCCCTTGAGTTAGGTGCCTTTTTTATGCGTGAATGATTCCCAGCACAGCGTTTAGTGGTTTAACGAACAAAAACATTTCTATATAAATGGTTAGCTACAAAGACTGGATTGAAAGTAGCCAATATCCAAAGAAAACCTTTGAAAGACCTTCAGAAAACCTGGAGAACTATTGCTCAAGTCTACCTAAAAAATTACAAGAAAGTCTGGCTCCTTGTATGCAAAATATAGAAATGATGGTGACTTTTGCACAGTACTGTATTCATGGTGAAAAATACTACATTCACTTTTTCTGGTGGCATGCAGCTAGTTCTGAATTAATGTTTCTATTTGAAAATCTCCCATTTCGTTTTGTTTTTTTTTAAGATTTCTGAATGCAATGGAGATGAACTGAGTTTTATTTATAGAGTTCTTACAGACTGGGAGTTACCACAGTATGTTAGTGTGGACAAGTCTTAAACCACTTTGTTAACATTTTCTTAAGTAGAAAGTAGCTTCAACAGAAAATGTTCATTAAGCACCACAAAATAAATCCCATGCACTTTGTTGCATTGAGGTGTACGTACTGTAGCTGTGTAGCTGCATGCTTTTAGAGGTAAGTGAAACAATCCTTTAAAGGAAGACTGTAAAATTTGCAACAAGATATGATGCACTTCCTCTCTATGAAACTAAATAAAGTTAAACTTGTTTAATTGATAGACCATAAAACGCACTCCCAATACCTTCAGTACAACGAGGTGTTTTGTTGCTATAGCCTTAGTCGGTCTGGTATGGCCGGTGCCTGAAGTTAGCCATAACGCTTATGTATTTCAGCACTTTGTGGTTATTTGCTGCCATGTATTAAGAGTGTCACACATACAACTTACAGTGTAAGAATCAGAAAATACATGATAGAATAAAAATGAGAAAAGAATAACAATCCCCACCCCACCCCCAAAAAACAAAAATTTCATGAGGAACTGCACCCTAAAAAGCAAGTATTTCATCAGGTTGTTGTAAACTATTGGCTGCATTTTATTTCCCAGGAGAGCAAACAACCAAAATCTCACTTCAGTTTATATCAAATACAGTTAAAAAAAAAAATTTATACTGATGCTTTTATTTGTACTCCCCGACTGGAGTGTAACATCTGCTTCCACATGTTGGCCTGCAGCCCTGAAAACCTCGTGTTTAATCGTACTGTATATCTGCACAAAAACCTGTGTGTGTTTGCACGCGTGTGTGTGTGTGTACAGTAATTGTGTATATCACTGTTGAGGGAGCGAAGGATTACTTTGCAGGAGATCATTTTGTGTTACTGAGGTAGAATGAGAGATTAAGAAGCTGAAGGTAACTGAGGTTTAAATGAGGTCTTTGTGTCAAGGCATACTGGTAATGTCAAATACAGATCAGAAATGCACAACAAACACAGCACCATAATTATTTCTGAGTAGACATGTTCCTGAATAGTTTTGTACCTGAGGTTTCAATATGGTGTAAAAGCACTGTTAATAGTGAAATCCTGAGTGAAAAAAAAATGACATGTCAACATCCTTGTTGACTAAATGATGTGTGTGAAGGGTTTCTCTTTTCTAAATGAAATATTCAAACAATTTCTCTCAAATCAGCTGCTGGATTGAAGAAAAACAAAACCCTGGATCCAATTTAATCTTCTTTTTTTTTTGTAAGGAGCCCCTGCCCCACCCCTCAAATAATTTGATATTTCATTTTCAGTTTAAACCTTTCACACAACTTTCATCACAATGACTTCAGCGCACCATGTCTATATTGTAACGATGTTTCATACGAGGGTTTGTGATATTTGATTTAGAAACATGTTTCAATAAAAACAATTCAGTTTGGTTCCTTTGTTTTTCTTAACCAGTCTCATTTCAGCCGGCAGCCTAGTCCCCTCTCCATGCAACCGCCGCACACACGCGCTCACACTCGCTCACACGCAACCATGCACACTAAGGGGCTCAGGAAAGCTGGCATACTTGTAGGAATAGTTCAATTTTTATGGGAAATGCACCCTTTTTGTTTTTCCTTTACTGCTTAAAGTCACATGAGAAGCAGGCACGTCTAAAACGACCACAAAAACTGCTTTTACATTTTTAGATTTCAGAAATGAGACAATATGTGTGTGCGAGCTTTAGAGATGCTGCAGGTATGAACGGCATATTTATATGTGAAAATGGTATGTCTCAAGTGCATTTCCCAAAAAGTGGAACTATTCCTATTCAATAAACCTTACTGAAAGATCAAATACTCCAATGTTAAAACACAGTTTGCTCACCAAAAATCCAAAACTCTTAAAAAATTTATAACAAATCCAAGGTATCACATCAGGAGAAGAAATTACTGACTGCAATTACTTTTGAGTGTGTGTGTGTCTGTGTGTTCCTGAATCCCCATCACAGATAGGAGTCAGATTTAAACCCCTGTTTATCGGAGGCCAAACCTTGAGGTAGGTAGAGAGGTGCCCTATCTACTCCCCTTCCTCCTGTGCTGCCGCCTGAGATGACGAGGGACCCTCCTCAGCCTCTTCTGAAGCGCCCTGGAACAGCAGGACACCCAAAAAAAAAACAAAAACAAAAAAAACCCAAAACACTTTTTCACTTTGTTGTTATCTCTTTTGGTCTACTGACTCATGATGCTCAAGCACATGAATCAATACTAGAAAACGCACGAGAATACAAGAATGACTGTTAAAATCTCATGGAGCGATTGCGTGCGAGGAAGCAGGTTCCAGCTGTCAGACCCAGAAATGTGAGGAAGATGACGGTTACATCAGGAAACCAAAAAGACAGGGGAAGAGAACAGTTAGAGCAGGTTTCCCCTCACTATATTGACTCATTCTTCCCCTTCATGTGTGTGCGTCTGAGAAATGGAGTCTGTCTCAACGGTTTCAGTTCTTAAAGCATCTCAACCCCTTTGACAAACTGCTTAGTGGAGAGGATGCGATAAGACACACGAGGGGCATCAAGAGAACTGCCCCGCTTCGGTGAGAACTGTTGTGCAACTTCATTTGAAATTCAAAAAAAAAAAAAAGAAGAAGAAGAAAAAAAAGGGCTAAACGAACCAAAGTTACAGAGAAGCACTTGGTGTCACAAGACGATGTTTCTGGCGGTTTATCTGGGGAATTTAGCAACGGCATCTGTGAATTTTCAAGAATTTGGCATATCCTCATGAAGTCAGTGTACATGAAGCGCAAGAAGCATGTGCATTGACAGCTTTGCTATCAAATGTGCTAAGGTAATGAGTTTTTAAGTGGTTTTATAGTTGCATTTTAGTAAAAATGTGCCAAGGCCTGAGAAGGTTATAACATACACAAATCCTAGGAGTACTGAACTGAAACACAGCATTGCGCAAAGTGAAATCCATATATTTAAAAAGAGCAGATACGCAACGTGCAGGGGAGTAAAAAGGATTAATTAAAGACAATGTGCTTCAGTACCCTGGAAACAAGGCAGTTTCGCTTCTTGAAAGTCTTTCCCTTTTACAATTGTTAGATTTTGGGGCACTTTTCAGAAGATGGAATTATTTGGGATGTTCTTCCATGAACAGATACAGAAAAATATAAGGAAAGGCTTTATTTTGACACTAAGAGGCATTTCTGTTCTGTCACTGGTGTCACTTGCTACTTTACCAGTACTGCAATACAGATCAACAGTACTGCAAATTTATCAGGCAGTTAACTGGACACTTTTCAGAATATGGACCATGAGCGTTATGGTGACACTTAATGCATTAAGTGGCAGCTGAGTGTATACATATAGCATAAAGGACTTTACTGTTAAAATGACAAAGCCAGAGGATGGGATTCTGTGCCACGACCAGTTTAAAGTCAACAGGCTGCACATCACTAAGCCTAATTTTACATAACCCGCGGATCCTAGTAGATTAGCGGCTGCGTTTCCATCATGTCTCTCTCTCTATCTCACTTTTATTGCTATCAGTAAATCCTACCAGGACTAAAGGCAGCTTAAAAAAATAGTATCTGCAGCATCATGGAGGACATGTCAACACCATGTCATTTTAGGGACTTAAGTTTGTAAGTTACTGAGTATACTATATTAAATATCTTAAAGGGGGCAAATAACATTTAGTAGAAAATATTTATTTGTATTATATAAATATTCATCACTAGCTGGTGCAACTTTCTAGAAACCTTTACCTACTAGTTTCAAGCAGATTCAATATTTTAAAACTTAATGTTAGACATTTTTTTGTATTTTGCTCTTCGTTTTAGGTATTTATCAATACTTGTGAGTAGACTGGTTATGTAAATGTACAGTGCATACACTACTTGCGCAACTGTTAATGTTTTTGTTTTGTTGTTTTTTTACTCACCCTGTAGAGTTTGCAGGCCAGATTATAGCGTGTTGTTTTAGTTGCAGCTTCACTAAAAAGTACAAGGGACTTTTGAATGTAGTTTTTCTTTGATGATGAACTTTTGATATTAATAAATAAGATAAGCTATGCAAATCAGCACTGCAGGTCTCACAACATAAATGTAACTGACATTAGTCAAAAGGTAAATGTATGACACAAAATGAGATTTCTGCCCAACTGAAGCAGGGCTCACATTACACCACAGTCACAAACTCTGAAAGTGACTTATAATAATGCAGATTACACTGCAAGAGACTTCAATGATTTGATGATTGTAAATGTTTTAAGGATTCCGCCGCAAAGCCACTGCTAAGTTTGTTAAGCCATAAATTTGATATAGTGGGGAACGCGGCTGTGAATGTTAAGTGGTTTACTTTATTTTGTGAAGGTGTCTCAAGCGCATCTTAAACACAGGCCCTAATTCCATTATTCAAACAGCGGCACTTTCACAACAACAACAGCGTTTCAGTTGTGGGAACCTGCGTCTCAAAGTGCTACATCAAAACAAAACCGGACCACCCTACTGCCCTTTAAAGATTTCGTTTTCCTCACCTGCTGTTCTTCAGTTACTTCTAGCACTACTTTCTGGGGCTGTGAAAAGAGAGGCAGCAGAATTAATTAAACATGAAGGAAAACGGGCCCTCAAGGACTGCTCAGCTCCAGCATACACAGACACCTTGGAGGCTTTGGACACACATTTACAATTAACTCCATGAATGTCAGCGATTGCTTCATACCCATTTCCTTGGTCGCCCACGTGGTCGCTTCTCTCCAATGGGCTCTACTTTCTGCAGAGGAAGAGAAAAACGGTTGAAAACACAAATCCTGTGGTTTTCTTTAGAGTATTGTAGTTTTTCAATCTTCAATCCAGCAGCCATATTTATTTGCTAGATACAGTTTCCTGTAGGTCAAGGGGGGAACACCCCTCTCAGGAGTGGCACCATTTCCTTAATTAAAGAAACATTTTGGTGAATACTTTGATGGGGCTGTACAACTCCTGTTGGTAAAGTCAACAGTTGAAACAAAACTTCAGAATTTAGTGCAAAAAAAAAAATAAAGAAATGCAAGGGGTAGGAGTTGTATGCATGTACAGTGCCTGCACAGATGAACAATATGCCAAATTAAAGTTTTCGCAGGCATCAGCATGTGCAAAGTTTACTTGGCCTATCACAACCAAGTAAAATGATTTTAAACAATTAAAGAGGAACATTTAAATTAATATTTGTGGAGTTCTTTTCTTTAAAATCATTCTGTTTTGAGAAATGTTCAGGTTGAAAACACAAAGGATGGATTTGTGTGATTTGCCATGTCTAATTGCAGGCTTACACATGAAATACCTCTCTCTGCCATGTTGTAACAAGTTTAACAAGCTCAGTTGCCTGACAATAACACTTCCCCCTCACAGCTAGTGATGAAGAATAAAAAAGAAATCTTGTGAGTCTGATGTCTCCTGACAAAACAGAAAATTTTCAAATTATATTTTTCAGCATATTTTTGTATGATTAGCCAAATAGTTGATCCACTACAAGATGTGGATCAATGATGATGATGATGATGATGTCACACCTTCTACAGCAAGTTTTCTTTACTTTATTTTTAAACTACAGTGAAACCTAATTTTTTGATATGCACACAAATTTCTGTCTAATTTTACAAGCAGCAAAATGATGAATATTGGTTGGTTTATATGGGAAAAGACTAATCAAATCATTCACGAGTCTATTGCCAGAAAATTGCTGATCTTTACAGTAAAATAAGTCTTTAAAGCTGGTGTAAGCAAGGTGGTGTAAGGAAGTCCATCCACTCTGATACTTCCAACCACTTATGTAATGTAATCGTTGTTCCTGACAAGACAATGTTTTATTTGTCAGAATAATAACGCATGAGGCATAAAAACTGCAGTGATTTAACTTGAGCTTGTCTTTCTTTCTGTCTGTTTTGCAACCTCATTTTTGCCCTGTGATGGCTGCTTTGTAGCCACAAAAGTATAATTGAATTAAATTGTATAAAAACACAAAAAAACCCTCACTAACACAGGTACATTGCAAAGTTAAGCCCACTAAGATTGCAAAGTCTGAATTATTGTTTAAAAAGTGCAGACACTGCCACTAAACCCTAAGCATCTGCATCCATTTCAGCTTTCTTATTATGCCAATTTCAATTATGTAATGTTTGGTTATTTGAAACAAATTAACTGTGATGAAATTATACTCTGATCAGTTTCAACCTTCAGTGCAGTTCTGGGGCCTTTGTTCTTGCTGCCTTTTGGTCGTCCTCTTGGCCGCTTTGGAGTTGGTGGTCCAACAGGCTCCTGTGAAGAAACATTAGATGCGGATCTAGTAGATGTAAACACGCCATCGGCTCAGTAAGGCAAAGCTCATCACATTCACATGCTTAATAAATGGAGTCCTACCTGCTGCTGTTTCCTTGGTCGACCTCTGCCCCTACGCTGAGGCTCAGGAGGTGACTGGGCAGTGCTTGGCTGAGGAGATGGCTCTTTGGTCCCACTGTTACTCATGCCTGCGTCTGTCCACCTGCTTCAAACTGTGTGGGCATCAAAGCCTGGAGCAGCGGCCTCGAGGGCTTAAAGAGGAGCAGAGTTGAGTATCAGGAGCTGGAGATGCGAGCAAAGGAACCTGGAAAAAATGACTCGTTTTGAATGCAGCGCAGCAATCGTCTCTGACAAATTTAGCATAATCAGCTCTATTATACCACTTCAAATAATTTTCTTTTTGCACAATTACCACAATGAGTTCCAATCAGTGCTTAATGACATCATTAACAGGATAATTCAGGATCACACAGGACTCTTTTCCAAGAGCAAGCGTGGGAACTGCTTATACATAAGCCTTGGCACCAAGTTCATCGGAACACAGACAGGGGTCTGGCAAATGCAAGGAAACATGAGAATGGTGTGCAGAGACTAAAAGTAGCACAGATATTCACAACTCAATCTACCATCCAAAATCTGCATCTACTGTACTACACTCCCCACTTCCATCTGCCCTCTGCTAGGCGTTGCATGTTGTACGTGTGGTGATGCGACATAAAACTTGTGCAACTCAGACAATGATTTGCAAGAAATGAAAGACGCTACATGCAAAAACTTAACAAAAAGAATTGAAACTGCTAGTAAATTTACAGTTTGGAGCCTGTAGTGCAAAACTGGGAAATAAAGCTACAGCTATTTGGATAATGTAAGAGTCATTTAATTTCTTATAGTAATGTGTAAGGTTTAGGTGAATATATTTGGTTTGGTCAAAAAGATAGATTTACAAAGTAAATCTGTAATCTCTAAATAGGCCTTTACAGCTGATTAACTGTCTACTCAATAAAATGGCCCTCACAGCTCCTGCAGCCCTTCAGGACGTCTTCGTGTCGCTTGGACTGCCTGACCAACATTCAGGTGGCTATAACGTTTGCATTATATACATTTGCAAAAAAAAAAAACTACTTTTCACGTTAAATCGATTTTCACAACAATTGCCAGTTAAGTCTTTGTAAAAAATAAATTAATAAATTAATTTAAAAAAAAATCAATTGGTGAATTATTTTGTCGACTGACTTGTTTCAGCTCTAGTTGCAGCCCATCACGGGCCTGATTAATAGCACTGGTACTGTAAACATTGTATATTCCACTTTGATCACTGGTCGAACCATTTGTAAACGTGATGGGTTTATTTCCATGGGTGGAACAAACAATAAATAACCACTTAAAACTGACTTTTGGTAATGTCCCAAGGTGGTCGCTTACCACAACGGGCAGCTCTGCGAGGAATGTGCCAAACACTAATTGCCAACACAGCCTATCAAAAACGGCTGCACCGAAGCAGGAAGTCGGAGTAATTTGAGAAATACGTCCTCGCTTGAAACGATTTAAAGCCAAACGAGACGCACGACGTCGTTTCGTCGCTTTTAAAACTCGTTTCCAAACAGCTCAACAGGCGACGTGCACTTCTCTTGCAGCAGCAGACCGTCCGCTCAACTAGTCCGCGTTTGGCAGTCAAGTACGGGACTGAATGTACTTTTTGCATATGGGCGGCAATTGCAACCATAAAAACACATTCTTTTACAGCGTTTACCAAGGTGCGCGAGGCGCTCCTGAAGCGAAGCCGTCAGCCCAAAGCGTCGACTTGAGTTTGGTAACTGGCACATGCAAACGCCAAAACAACAGTCGAGCAACAGGCCAGCAGTGTTTTAAAGCGTAAAGTCGACGCTGACCAAACAACATCCCCCTGCTTCCATCACTTGCGCAATCGATCTCTAATGTGTTTGGGTTTTTGGACCGATAACAGGTTCGCCAAAGTGGATGAACCGTGTGCTAGAAAGAGCTGGAAGAAGAAGGAGGAAAAAAAAACATTGCCAAGGACAAAGGCAAGCAACACAGGTGCAAAACCTCTGCTTTCAAAAGCAGGACATACATTTAGGCTATAGGCTCCGTGTTCTGGCTGAGCAATCCTGCCCATGCAGCCAGCGCCAAATAACAGAGGGAGCAGAGGCGGTTCGACTTACCTTAAGTTGGTTTGCAGTTTTACCTGGAAGTTCACACACACTCACTCCACTTTGTGCTCCTGCACAACTATGAAAATCTTAGTGTATCGACCGTCTCATTGGCTGGAATGAAAGGGTAATCTCTCTCTCTCTCCCTCTCTCTCGCTCCCTCGCTCTCTCTCTCTCTCTCTCCCTCCCTCCTCCTAATCGGAAATGTGTGTGATCCCCCAGACGTCCAGTCACGAATACCCCAGATGCAGTATAGTGGGGGGTTGTAGCAGAGCTGTATGCATTGCATACTTTCTCTATTAAAGCATGTTTCAAGAAAGAACGAGGGTAGGAGGGTTGAAACAGCGGACCCCGCCCCTAAAAGCTCCCTGGACCACCCACTTAAGAGGGAGAAAGACGGGCATCAGACAGGAGGGTCTGGTTCCGGGGTTCCCAAAGTGGGGTTTGGGGGCTGGGAAGTTCCCCAAAGAAGGGAGGAAAAGGTTCAGTTTGTTTCAGCAGAACAGAGTTGTGAGAGCAGACTGTCTGCACTGTTTCAAGCAAAAAGTTTCACTCTTTGTCCCTCTGTTATCTCCCCACCTACAGTGCTAAGAGATGTTAACTGTGTCATAAAGGAATAAAACATCAAATGGAGTTTCAGAAGAACAAAGTTTGCTCAGCAGCACTATCATATACATTTTCTTTAGGGGAAAATGTAACCCCGGCTCAGCTCATTTCAAAAACTGTGCAAAGAGCATTTGAAGTCATCAGCAGAAAAACTTATAGAGCACGCAAAAAGTTGCGATTAGATGCAATCTTTGGATGTTGTATTCAAGTACTTTTAACAAGTGTAGCCCAGTTATTAAAAAAATTATACAACTGTTTATTTTCAAATAATAATAATGAAATAATAATAAGTCAACATGGAGCATTTTTAGATTAAAAGATCCCTTTCTGTGTGGATTTCTGCTTTACATGCTGCCTGTGTGCAGCTGGAAAAAAAACCCTAAAAATAATATATTTTCAAGATGTAACTTTTTGCATTTACACAAACTGATAAAAATTGAATGGAAATGTTTGAACCACCGCAGAGAATACACATTCCAGGGGCAGCTGCTGCTGCCACTGGACCACTCACAGAGTCATGTCAGGTGAACACGTTGGCGTACGACCAAAATATAAAGCTTTAAGTTAAAAAAGATGAAGCACGGAGATTAGTTTGGGTGATTTGCAGTAATGTAATTAATACATTCTTAAACTGAACATCTTGCAAAACCAGATAAAAATAAATAAATAATAATAATTCAACCAAACGTAGCCTATATGTCTCAGGTTATTACCATAAAATGCACAAAAGCAAAATAAAGAAGAAAACATCTGCATGTTTTTTTATGGCAGCATTTATTACAGATTTCAGTCGGGTTTCCCAGCAGCTTTTGTCAACAGTTACTTAGAACTGGTAGTCATATACAAATTTTCATTAGTCATCTACTATAAATATTACTAAATGAAAGTGAACAGGATGACTCTGAAATCACAACCGCCAGTCTGCTGTTTCCAAACACTCTATAGAACAGGAGCATAACTGGCCATCATCAGTTAGACAGGAACGCGGTCTAAGCTTTTCTCTTATCGGGTTCTATTTCTGCAAACAAATATAAACATAAATCTTGGGATTATCTGAGATAAAAAAAAAAGTTTAAGTTTTACTGAGAAAGACACAGAAAGATAGAATGGGGGAGAAGGTAGAGGTAGGGGGAGGAGGTGGTAGTGGGGAGGAGGGGGGGGTCACGAGAGAGAAATTATGCGTGTGTGTGTGTGTCAATGTATGAGAGAGTTCACTGGCCTTCCGCGGCGTGTGGTGTGTCTGAGATTCGGTTGGACTCTGATCTTGAGGTTTATTTAAGCTGAATTCCGTGGGCTCATCAGGACCGCGTTACAAAAATCCTCCTATAGAACTAGAAAGAATGTGCAGCGCATACAGTTCTGCATAAGGCACAAAGGCATGTCTTTAGAGGTGGGGGCAGGCATCAAAAGACAGGCAGAGGAGGGATTTCTTTAGAGGCTGGGGGCAAAGAAGGTATTTCGGAGTGCCATTCATTGCCAGGGAGAGCAGGGGAGGCGTACAGTTTTGCAATAAAGGGTGCATTTCCAGGGGATGTTAGGAACTCCGAAACTGTGCCGTAAACCTCTGCACCCCTGCTCTAACTGGAAGTTAATTAGGGACGATATTTTCCTCTGACTCTTCGGGGGCTATATTTGATTTGATTCATTTGAAAGCTTTTAAATCTTTTTAGAAGTTGGTGCAAAAACGGGCAAAATTAGAAGCCCTTTAATGCCTGTTTGCGATGCATATAAACATTACAAAAAAAGGTTTTAAAAAAAAGAAAGAAAAAGTAGTTGTGAGCAGATAAACATTTATCAGGGTAAAGGCGAATAAAGACTGGAAAAGTAGTGGTAATAAAAATGAAAAATCTCATCAAAGTAAAACTGAAAAGCAGCTCACATTTTTATGATGAACCTTTTCCGCATGGCTTTTTATTTTGCATGTCAGCGTGCGTGATTATTGAGTTCTTATTATTTTGGCATATCTGTTGGTTTCTGGCTGCCAGCAGCAACAAAAAAAAAAACAAAAAAACGAAAAAAAATGGATTCTGATCCACCTAATGTTAGTTATTGCAACTGAAAGGATTCATTAAATCATGCAGATGTAATGCAGACATAACAGAAGAAATCCCGAAAGATGCATTACTACAAAACATTTTTTTTCATATTATAGTAATGTAATAGTAATACAAGTCATATAACACATTCTAATTATAAATCTGGATTTGTGTTAGGGATAGATTTTATAGACAAAGAGGCATCTGAGAAGAGGAAACGTGTACATGTTCAGCGCATGAAAAGGTCTCGCAAGTTTTGATAACACTCAGAATAATCAGTTCTGTGTTTAACGGCGCTCTCTCTTTCTAAGCCATCTCCATGACTTTCTTTATCCAGTCCACGTACATAGACACGCGGATAAAGATGTTGGGCTGCCCCGGGTGTCCACAGCGCCTCATGGGGATGATCACCCCCTCGAGTACCCAACAGTCCGTGTTCTGACACGCCAGAGGTCCGCCGTAGTCTCGCTGCAGACACACAGGAACAACACTCCGGGGTCATTATTTGTCTCTGTTATGACTGACTGTCACTGCTGAAGTTAGAAACATCTTGCAGTCACATCTTGTCCAGTTCACTTCCATTATCCAACTGGTGACTGTGTTTGATTTATAGGAACATATAAATAACTGTATGCGCTTTGCTTAAAGTAACTTTCATTATCAAACAGTTTTCCCAACCATCAGTATTTGAAGCGTTAAGTCCTAACACGTTACGCCGTTATTTTGTGGCACTTAAGGAACATAGTTTGACACTTTGGGAAGATACTTGTGTTCACTTTCTTGCAGGGGGTTTCAAGTATCTGCACTTTTAACACAAAGCTAGACAAGCAGTTGGTTAGTTTAGCTTAACACAAACAGCGGCGGAAACAGCTGGTGGAACCAGCTGGATCGGCTCTGCCCAAAGGTAATGAAATCCACCTACCAGGACCTTATAAACTCACAGCTTAAGAGAACATTTAAACAGTGTCTCTTAAACTCACAGTTTAAGCACGTACTTTCCCATTTTTAAACATCAAACTATTCTATTAATTTTTACAGCTATTAATACCAAAGATGGTCAGTGCTGTGTTTCTGTTATGACTTGGTTAAGAAACCACTTCAAGCAGGGGACCTTGCATTTCTCCTGTAACATCTCAGCGGCAAAGTTTTGAAATGGTCCACCACTTTTACGCAGATACGTACCTCGCACGCGCCTACTCCAGCTTGGAAGGCGTTTGTGCACATCTCATTTTCACGAACACGACCTCTGAAGTATTTGTTGCACTCCTTGTTACTAATAACAGACATGTGGGCCACATTGAGGACAGCCTCATTACCAGTCCCTTGAAAAAGATTAAGAAGAAGGAATTAGTTAGCAGCTAATGTATTTAGAGGCACAGTGAAACGAAAAGGAAGTTGGACAGCTGTTGAAAGATTTTGAAAATAGCAGTGCCATCTGTTGCTCAGTAGCCTGGATAGCCCTCATTTAGAAGAAACATTACTTCAAGGGCAGAAACAAGATGCTCGTTCTAAGGAAGACACCTTTTATTAATTATTCGAAGTAGAAGGGTACTGCATGAAGTCGGCACTTCCGAAGGATTATACTTGCCTCTTGTCTCGCCCCATCCTGCAATTTCACACCTCGTCCCCTCGCTTACAATGTAGCGCTCAGGAGGGAGGCAAATCTGAGAGACACGCGCATTAAACTCGGCCGGGCTACAGAAAGGGAGGAGGAAAAAGAGTCAGGAGGACTTTTAGGTATATGTCTGTGTACATATGCATGCATGTGTGTGTGTGTGCTGGTGGGACTTGACAGTACACACTATTCCAGTTGTAGCATGACCAGTTGAGACTCAGAAGGTCCGCAAACAATCTTAGTGAGAGGGATGGTTTGCACACCGGGTTCTCCTTCTTGAGGATCACGAAACAGAGTTCCCATCTTGGCTGAATATCCAGGCAGGTCAACGTAGCTATGCACACATTCAGATGATTAAGCACTATCAATATATATTAAAGCATTTTTGAGTTTTGAAAGTTTGGAAATTATTTACTTATTTACTTTCCTGATGAGATTTAAATGAACGGCTTTTTCTCTCTATCATATCTGGATGGTAAATCTGAAGCTTTGTAAACTGAGAAACTGAGAAATTTAGACATGTCTTAGAAACATCCAAAGTCTAACAGTAAGTCAGACCTATTAGAGATTTAATTTAAATTTCACACTTTTACATGCACTCACCAACCACTTTATTAGGTAGTAATTAGGTTCCTAAAACTGTGTTAGGACCTGTTCTGCCTTCACCACATTCAGATTCTATTGGATTAAGTTCTGGCGACTGTGGAGGGCATTCGAGTAGTCTGAACTCACAGTCATGTTCAAGAAACCAGTTTAATCAGAAGATGGACATCGTCAGCAACAACATTCGGGTAAGCTGTGGTGCGTAAATAATGTTCAGTTGGTATTAAGAGGCCCAGAGTGTGCCATTACATACCACCACCAGCCTGAACCGTTGATACAAAGCAGGATGGATTCAAGCTTTCATGTTGTTTACTCCAAATTCTGACCCTACTATCTGAGTGTCACTGCAGAAATTGAGACTCAGCAGACCAGGCAACATTTTTCCAATCTTCTGTTGTCCGGTTAGGGGGAGCCCGTATCAATTGTAGCCTCAGTTTCCTGTTCTTAGCTCACAGGAGTGGCACCCGGTGTGGTCTGCTGTCGACAGGCTGCTGTGTGTCTGCTGCATACCTTGGTTGTTGTAACAAGTGATTATTTGAGTTACCGTTGTCTTTCTATCAACGACGTCATCTGGACCTTGTCCATATGTAAATGTATTAAATTACTGCCATGCAATTGGCTGATTGAATATTTGTGTCAAGAGCAGTTGAACAGGTGAACGCTGCCTCTCTTTACTGCTCTAATATCTTTGCATGAATGTTTTGCAATGATCCCAGTCTTCTTCATGCTCTCGTGCTACTTTAAACACACAAACACCAAAATAATCTCTGGTCTTTTGCCATTGTTGTTCTCTCTGTGGTATTTTACACAAGTAAGAAAACCTCTGCATCTGGTTTAAACCAGTACAGACAAGCTGCACGCTGAAATGCTAACGTGGAGTTGTTTTTATTTGTGACTGGACATACAACTGGAATCAGTTTTCTCATCTAACGCTTATTAAGAATAAACATTTGCAAAAATGCCAAAAACTTTCGATGTGTGAAATCAGAGAGCACTTTTAAAAGAACCAGACTTACCAGGAGGAGAAACACTGTTTGGTGCTGATCACCCATCTAGCATTAACCAGGGATCCTCCACAGAAGTGGTTTCCTTTTCTGCACACACACAGGTCAGAGGTTACATCCAACATAGCAGAAAGCCTTTTACTATAACTGTTAAACACCATCAGCTGTCAGACTCACCTGTCTCTCAGGCTCACCGTCCAAGGTGAGTTCCCAGGAATCCCATTCACTATACGCATTATGGGACTCGTATGGGCCCGGTCTTCTCTCTTTCCACACTCACTAAACTCCACGTTTTCTGTGATCACAAAAAGGCGACTCAATACTGTAAAACATATTTTGCAGATGTTTGAAATATATTAGAAAGCCTGCTCAACTAACCTACTGGTTCAGTGATAGACACTTTCTCCCCAGCTGTGTAAAAACACCAACAGACTGAATGTTAAACTCAAACTCTGGATGAACCATCACCACACAGCCCAATAAAGTGCTACAAGAGACAGGTAGAAAAGATCTGTACCGCACTGTTTGATGGCACAGTAGTCAAACTCTGTTTTGTGGTCTGTGGTGTAGCACCAGGGTCCGTGATGGTCACCATCTGGGTTGCGACAATAGTTTTCTGTCAGATTGGCATCTGGATGCGTTCTTGGGTTTATCCTGGAAGATCACACAGATCTCTTAAAATATATAGGCATGCTAAAAATGCTGAAAACACCACAGTCCTTCTGTTTGTAACAATATTATTCTTTTTTTCTTGCTCAAGACACTTTTACCAGCTATTATGTTACAGACCACCTTAATAAAATAGAAAGTATAGAGCCTATGTTTTAATAGTACATTTTCTAATGTATTCATCGGTTCGAAGAGAAAACAAAATCCACTCGATGTTAGTATGAAGTGCAGATACACTTTCAATATAAAGCCAATTAGTGGTCATAGTCATACATGTGCATAAAATAAATCTTCTGCTGTTTAATAGCTTAAATGTTCATCTTACTTTGTCCTGTGAGGCGTGTTAACGTTCCATTTCTGGCAGGTTATGCCCTTACGAGTTTTACGCACAGTGCCTCTGTAGTTTCTTCCGTTTTCATGGTAACAGTCTGGAAAGAAGACGAAAGACTTCATCATCATCGCAACGGCCATTACTAAGTATGGCAGACTGTCAAATGAGCATAATGGGACAGAACAACACTGCACTTTGTCTTCATTTAGAATCAAAGCTACATTTGAGGTGAAGTCTGGGCATTACAAAGTTTCTTATTTCTGCCTTATAATAATGGTATGCAGATAAATTATTTAATTGTTTAACAGAGAAAGAATTTTTCAACATGGTAGTTTTATTTACAATGCATAAATCATTTCTTTTAGCACACGGTAATTAAATTATTAAAGGGAAAAAAATGAATGACATATTATGAGCCCCTGAAAACTGACCTTTTTGTTGAGCCATAGCACAAACCGCTGCTGTGCAATGGTGTGATTTAACTTTTATATTACAAGCTTTGAGCTTTATAAAGTTAAACCTGAGGTAAACCTCTTCCAATTTACCCATAAGTGAGCTGCCACTTGAGAAAGCATTGTGCCAAAATCAAAGTTAAAACAAAATGGATTCACAATCTTTCTAAGTGTCAAGAATTAGAGTGAGAAGTATCATCAGGAAATTCAAAGAGCCGCACAGAATAAGCCTGGCAGAGGGAGAAAAGATTTTAAAGACTCGTGAGAGATGTCTCTAAAGATTTAAGAACAACTACCAAGACACTAGTAAATGACTTAGCCAAGTTAGGAATTGTTGTTTAAAAGAAGACAATTACTAGAAGCCTGCACAGGAATGGACCCCGTGTGGCAGATCAAGTAATAATGTCACTTCTGGTGAAGACTTCGCTTTGTCTTCCAAGACGACAACGACTTAAAACAAACGTCGTTTTTCGAGAAGACCAAAGTGAACTTCACTGAGTGGCCTGCACAAAGTCCTGACTTTAATCCCACTGAAGGTCTGTGGAGAGAAAACTGAAGACCAAAGTGAATAAAAATCCTGCCCCTAGTAGTTTTGGCTTTTTGAGAAATAATTTCATTGTTTTGTTTCAGAGTAAAATAATGTAAGCATCCAAAACTGTCTCTTTGCTGCTTTTTTTTTTTTTTTTTTAAGAAAATTTGCATAGGAGGGCTAATAATTCTGTCCTCATCTATAGTTAAATGTTCAAACAGAGAAAAAGAAAAAAAGAAAAAATTTCTGGCGACTCGTCAGATATTCCAGGGATTTGGGGCTCTCGCTGGAGGGGTCTTCATCACATTGATATTACAGCCCTGCACGTCCTCATATGAATATTCATACAGTCGCTGCATCGTAAGGTCATCTTTATTCATTAATGCCAACAGGAGCCTGTTCGCTGGATTCATATTAAAATGGAGAAGAAGGCTAATACCCTCAGCTTCTATGTCGTCTGCACAGCGTTTGATTTGCAAGCAGAGAGCAGTCCTCATCGCTGGGACAGATGTGAAGCACCAGGGAGCCTCTGACCCATCTGGGTTACGACAGTAGTTCTCCTCCAAACCCCTGGATGAAATGTAACACAGATTCAGCTCATCATTGATGCATTAAATTACTGGTCACTGACACTGTGCCGGGTTAGTGTAGAGACACAGAGATCACGCTGAAATAACTAAGTTCTTGTCCCCCCACCCTTGAGTGAATGAAATGCTACTAATCACTTCTGGCATGATGAGCGATCACAGCATCACAAAGAAGTTTAATATTCATTTCACATGCATGCTGCCACTCTGAGAGCGATCTGCTTTTAATGGAGAATTACTGACTATCCATCATCTACTGCCAACTGTCAGCAGAGAAATAAGATGCAAGAAATCTCACTGCAATGACGTTTTGACATTAATATTCATGTGCAATGCAGCGAGAGCACTATCAAACTAACAAGCTGTGACAACAAACAAAATTTAAAAAAAAAAGACTAAATGAAAAGGTTAACCTTAACAGCGATCAACGCTTACTTGCACTCATATATGTTTGGGTAGAAGGGGTGCTCATGGGGTTGCTGGGCATCCCACCGCTGGCAGGGGATGCCTGACGTGGTCTCGTTGACTCTCCCGCGGTAATCCTCCCCGCGCCCACGGAAACACTTGGTGGTGAAGCTGGAGCGCTGGCGCTTCTCTACGTGAACTTCAGCTGGAGAGAAGGAACAGGTTAAAGATGACATAAACATCAACAAAATGCAGGAGAAAACGAAAGTTTGTTGGAATAGTCTCATGAGATAAAAGAACAACGTGACCTCATTTTTTAATGAATCACCTTTAAGGACCAAATGATGCTGATTTACAGCAGCAGAGAGAAACTACGCGGAGGATCAAATAAACACAGATATAAAAGAGGAGAATAATTACCTAACGAAACAGGATAAAAATCATGAGAAAATTAAGATGTGAAGGTGACGGTGAAAACACAAGAAGCTCAGGAAAAAGCCGTGGTTTCCACGTGTGAAGGATAATAACATGTTACATAATACTAATCACACCACAGGATGGCACTGTTTTATCGTGATCTTCTCTTGTGTCAATGATTCTCATTGGAAATCCCCAGGTTGCACAACTTCTGTTGAAATTTTTGGGAGAACACTAATGCCCTGTTTATTTGATTTGTTTTGCTGGTTGTTCACGTTCTCTCTTAGTCCTTGAGTGTATAAAAAAAAACACACGTGGCCATCATCTACCTGCTTTAGAATTACAATTATTTTTTAAAGTATGGGCCTGTATGTCATGAAAGTAATTTAAAAAACAAACAAACAAACAAA